CTCTCAGACAGAATTGTAGTAGTAGAGGCTAAGGTTAGGTTCAGTCACTCTTGACCTGGACTGAAAATGAAGTGCAAGAGAATTAAAATTTACTCAGTTATGGATCTAACAAAAAAAAAACCCTTAAGTGAACTTTCAGTACTTAATAGCAATAAGTAGCTTCCTTTTGCAAGTAACATTTTTTTTTTTAAGGTACCAGAAAATTACAGATGGAGGAGTTTCAATAAATGGGAATCGTGTAACCAATCCTGAGGCTGTTCTTATTCTCGGACAGCATATTCTCAAGAACGGAGTGTCATTACTTAGGGTTGGAAAGAAAAATTACTACATTATAAAATGGCTGCAGTTGTGACAACCGAACACCTTCCTAAAACAACAGGTCATTTTAACTCTGTTGCTTGAAGACGTACTTGAAGATGTTTCTGTCCTGTGCGTTGCTACGCAGCTCACAAACTGCCCAATACCATCGTTTTCCAAAATGCAACAACAGAGTTCAAATAAAGCAGCTGAGGTATAGTAGGGAAGACGTTTTAGATACTCTGCCTTATTCAAAGCACCATTCCTAAGAGGAGCTGCACAAAAAGACAAGGAAAAGATTCATTTCAAATGCAGATGTGCTGCCCCTCTTTAACAACCACGTGTTGGAGGAGAACAGTGGCCGGTTGCTCCACAGAACCCACAGCAAGAAGAGCAAAATCATCCTCAAACCCAGGACTTCTTAGAGCCAATGTGTGCTCACCTAACAGAGAAACCTGTGCCAGTGGGCAAGGACAACCAACCTGCAATCAACATGTTTGTTCAGAACAGGTTTGCTTTGAAGGAAGCTGCAGGAAATTCACAATAAAGGAAAAGAATGATTAAGCACTAATGAGCTGCTTGTTTATGTATGGGGGCACATTGCACCAAAGGTTTCCAGCCTTCATGTGGGAATACACTGCAAGATAACTTTTTGCAGTGTGGAAGTATAGAGCTTCTCAAAGCTTAGATCAACCTCATGAATCCCTTTTAAGCCTTCTGTGTGTATAGTATGACTTACCAGGTGAGTGACACTTGTTCCACTTCTTGGTCCTCTGAATTCACTGTATTCTTGAATTCCCTGCTATCTGCCATCTTTATCAAAGGTATATCCTGGCAATAGTTCTGAGGGCTCTACAGTCAGTTGCAATATATTATAGCACAAGATCTTAATCTGAGCTTCCTGGTTGTGGTAACTCAGCACCATCTCTTCTGTTGTCAGAATAAGTCATGGTAGTTCAGCTGGTTTAAAACCACCCAGCCTATGAGAGGAATGGGGAAATTTTAAATTATAACGAGACATCTCTGTCCTAATCTCTGTTCCATAAAGAACAATAAAAAGTAGTTGAGTCATATCTACCTTTAAAAAAGCACTGTATACATGGTCTTTGCTCCCAGACAACTTTCTGTTGCTTGTTAACTTTGCCTTAAGAGAAAACGTGAGGAGAAAGTTGAAGAGGGGAAGGCTACGTGCATCCACCTAATATACCTGCCTTGTTTCTTAAACAACAGAAGCATTAGTGCAAATCAGAATCATGCACCTGGGAACAAACTGCACCAGTACCCAGCCATGTTTGCCTCCAGAGAAAAACAGAGCAGATTTGACAGTTTCTTTCTGCTTGCAGGAAGTAAAATTCCATGTCTGATCTCTTTCCTGCCTTTTTTCCCTAATTACCAAATGGTGCAGATGCACACATATACGCACTTTTAATAAGTTAATAAAAGGATTTTGTTTTTACAAATACGAAATAAAAAAAGGGAAAATCACTTCTTTGCAGACAAGGTTTTTGGTAACACCCATAAATTCTTAAGAAACTTAGTCTGTGCTTCCTTTTGACCAGTTCCTAGCAAACCGAGCCCTTCCCTGACTCTTTTCAAAGAAACAGCTGGATACAATCCCCACTTGCCATGACTGTACAAGGTTATCACAACTGAGCATCTGAACACTTGGGTCAAGGACTAAGGATGACTGGAAAAATCAAATATCCTTCCTTAGCCCGGTCTTATTTATCCTATACTCCCAAACAGGTACCCTCAGGTAATCAGAAACACAACTTGTTCAGATGTGAACATTAGGTAGTACCTAATATTAAAGCATTTCACATGGCTACAAAGGTGTGATTTTAAAGTGCAAGAGGTAAACTCAAAGGGAGCTATCACAGCATGAAAGTACCTTCAGTGCTACTAAGCACAAAACTATATTCAATGGTTTTACACTTTGAAGAATCTATCATGTCTCTCACCTCAAAGCACAGACTTCAGCTTGCAATAAAAAGCTCCCACAGTGGAGATCTTCAGCAACTACACCAGCTACCCATCACCCTGACAGCTGAAGGATAAAACTGCAGGAAAAAAAATTACTTTCCATTCAAGTTACCAACAGGGCAGGGGCACAACAGACTGTCAAGCTGTTTGCCCTGCTGTAGCCCATAAAGCATCGAGTGAAGGCAGGTTTTACACAAGGAATGCTCTGTTTACTTCAGAATGAGGTTTGAAGCACAAAGACACCCCCCCCTTGCCCATCTTCTGTTCCACTGAGTGAAATTTGAACCTGACTACTAAATACTGACAAACTGTTCACATTGGTACACTGTGTTTTAGTTACAGGAATACCACACAGAGCTTAGGTACTTTGAGAGATTTACTAATCTGACCTTGGCTACAGTGGTTTTCCCCCACATTCTCTCCCCACCAGAGAGCAAGTTATTTTAAGTTAGCTAAAATTTGTGCATGAGTGACAAAATTATTTCAACCTTAAATTAAATAAGGTGGCTAGAAGGCAGTTGCAGACCATCATTCTAGTCTGAGAGTTTCTCATTGCTGACCTCATTAGTCTTTTTTCTCTAGTTTACCCATTATTTCTTTTAATGCTGGCAGTAATAGTGGAATTTAAAGTATTTTAGTTCAGTTCCAGAAAACAGCTTATTTCAAACCTATCAGCAACCAGCAGCAGCCTGTCTACACTATTAGTTACGAAACTATACAAGAAGTAAGAATGCTGACTTGAATAAGAGCAAGTGCAAACTTAAGTATGACTACAAATACAGGCAGTTACAAGTAAGTCCTGTCACTTGAACTATAACTCAGTTCAAAACTATTTCTGGGATAATTCATTTTGTGTATTATCTGTTTATTAAATAACAGGATAGTTACAGCATGGACTTTCAAAGACTTGCATTAAGGATTACAAATAAAGTTCATTTCTTGGCACTCAAAACATTACCAAATCAAAACTTTTTGTGAAACCAAAAAAAGTCGTAACATTTCAGAAACCAAATTTACACTGTGGAAATTTTACACGATGTTACAGAGCCAGGTTATCACTTGCAGGAATTTCTTCAGTAAATTCATTTGCTTTGTACAGCATTTCAAAACTTTACAAGTCAGATTATTTCTTCACAAGAGACTGTTGACTGAACTTTGGGAATTAAAGCTTAGGTAGCAGTTCACATATGGACGGCACTACCTTGTTGAAAACATACTTCTTATATGTTGAAAGTAAAAGGTAATAGAGGTGTCAGGTGAATTCCAAACAGAAATGTAATGCTTTTGACAAAACTATTCAAACTTCGCACTGATCACCAAAGCTGATTACAAAAGTAGTTTGCACTTCAGTCACATTTCTTAAATCTGAGAACTACCATCCCTGGACACAATGCAAGAAGTTAAAATTACTTCCTTTGTATTCATTACATGTAATACATACACCATGACTTTTTAGGCTGTTTAAAAATACATTATATATTTCTGTGTTCTGCATGAATTATCTCCGATCATACATAAACTATCCAAAAGTTGCACCTGCCAGACGTAACTCCTTGTGCTTATATTGGTGCCACACTGAAGATTACCATGAGAAAAATGCATTTTTAAACAGCTTCTTGTAAACTGAATTTTTAAATTTTTAGTCTTTAGCAGCTTACGAAAGGAATTCCATTTCTAACTGATTAAAGGCAGAAGGAACTGCATACAGTAATAAAAACCTCATTATACTGGCCCAGTACCACAAAGGGAAGCCATGGAGGTTAAGGGCAGTGTCCTATTTTTCATGCAAGTTGTGTTAAAGATAAAATATCAGCAACACTATAGTAAACATTTTCACTTTATACAAAAAGAGTGAATCTGCTTGAAAAGTACATGCAAGTGTGCTGGCTGGAGTTTAAATAATTTTTTATTCATAAAAATTAAAATGTTTACTTTAGAAAGGCTAGTGTGATCAATAGTTATCTGTATGAATTAGAAGAAAAAAAACTTAATTTCCAACTTAAAATTTCATAATTTTACGATTGTCCTCCAAAAAAAAAAAAAAAGCTACTTACAGCACAATAAAATTTCCTCAAAAGCAACTCTAATCTCTGGTATAAATATTCCAATTCCACAGGCTTTCTTTCATACTGTCATACATTCCAAAATTCAAAGAAGTTGTGGGGATCCCCTTCTCCCTGGCCAACCTAATCTGTTTTTAAAAGAAACACTTATTATCCCATTACAGTTTTGAAATCCATTTTTATTTTTCAGTTCTGCCAGAACAAATTCACTATCAGATGGTCCAGGGGCTTGGTCCCAGAGGGGAGGAAGGGGAAGATGTCCTTGTACCTGATTATAATCCCCAACATTCATACACAAGCTCCAGTGCACATGAAAACCTTTGCACCCACTTCTGAGCAGGCTGCTATTATTGTTCGTGAGCTCCAGGCTAATTCTTCCTACATGATACTCCATTAAATCAAGTTCAACGTTTTGTCTGCAGTTTAAACATTTTTTGGGGAAAAAAAAATAATGTGGACACAACATACATAGTAATACAGTCGACATGTCTACTGTGCTATAAAATTGATACCTCCATCTGTCACAGTGCATGCAATATATTCATGAAAGGAAATACTCGGTGCTTTCTTCTCTTCACAGTATTTAAACTTCTACTGTAAAAGCAGCTTAAAACTATGCCACAAGACTACACCGGCCATCTTAACCACAGGCAACCTGTTTAGCAAGTCAGGCACTGGAACTTGAACGTTTTTTCCCCAAGTTCAAATGAGAATGTCACTGAGACAGAAGACTTGGTCTGCTTTAATTTGCACCAGAAAGCTGGTAAGGAAACATTTAGAGCCATTTATTATGTGGAGTAAATACGACTTCTTTTGCAAAATACAGCATATTTTCCTGTTTGCAAATCAAACCAACTGTCTTTACATGAGCAGATTTACACAGTTGCAGTACACAGATAAGAAGAGTTCATAAATAAAAATTCTACTCCGTATACCATGCCTAGCAATTTTGAAGCCAATGTAACCTCCAATGCATATAAATAGTGTGGCTGATACAGTCTTTCTTCACCAAAGATGTGTCTCCCGAATCTCTGCAATGATCTGGCTGGCTCGCTGCAGGGCCTGCAAACACACAGAAGCGAGAGCTGGTTAGTTTTTCTGTAGAGGTTTCTCAGGGAAGTAACAGCATCAGTCTAGGAAGTGTAAAGTTCAAAACTCATTTTAAGCTTATCAGTTTCATTATGAAATGAGTTGCAACCCATTACATTTTCAAAAGGGCAGGCTTTTTCACCACACATAATTTTTGATGTTTTAAACCCTCTTCAAAATAAAAGAGAATCTGCACCTACTTTTTATGACTTTAATGTTCTGTAGCATTCATTGTAGTGTAGCCTGCTAAACTGCAGATTTAAAAACTCATAATACCAACTAATACATTATTTATAGTGTTACTCAAATTTGGAGTTATCTGTACTATGAGTGTGTACAAGCAGGGTATCCAGTCTCAAACAGACATTGTCTGACCACACTGCATATGAAAGAGAAGCACCTCCTGGTACTTCTTCAGTGAGCTGACCTGGCACAG